GTTTTGTTTTCTCTGTACTTCTATTTTATAATCTGCACCAAGCTACAAGAATATACGATGTTGGTAAAATGCAGGGTATTCTCAATATTGCAGGTTTGAGCGTAAATGAGGTCTCGAAATACAGCTCTTTGGTGTTAGTACTACATTCGCCATAAAGCGTCTCAAGTGCTGTCCATCGTTTTTTATTGAAATTACATGTACTTCACTTAAGTAAAATAAATGAATGACAGCTTATCCGGATATTTGACTTTACAACTGGATATGTAACCTTATACGTTATTCCCTGACATTCTTGTGGCTCGGGGTGGTAATTCTTGTTGTATGAAAACTATGTCAGATGATTTCTTCCCTTCTTCGAAAAATATTTGTGCTTAGATACAACCCCCCCCCCCCCACCCCCAAAAAAAAAATGAAAAATGGGAAACAAGTAATATCATTGCTTCGATCTAAAAGTAAAAGAAGATCCGGATGAGAATCGAAATGGCTACAAGTTGTACTAATTTAGGTTACTGATTTTTCTATCATTGAGGTTCAACCAAATTGTAAGTAATTTTGTGTAGATATGCAACATTAATCTTCTGCTACTCAAATGGCACCAAACTCTTTTTATTGTGACCCAATTAAATTATACTTCTTAATGGCATGGTCTTTAACACAAAAGATTTGACTCTATAGCTCTTTCAGAGTTCATGTTGCGATCATTTTAAAACCCCGATACATTACCGATAGGCAAGTGTAATTTACATTATGACAGGGCCGTAGCCTGAGCAAAATGCCAGGGGGGGGGGGGCAGTAAGCGGACACGAGGGGGACGGTGTGAGAGGGGGTGTCCCCCCTCCCACGATTGTTGAATGATTGTTTAATGACCATGAGTGCATTTTCTCACAGCATTGATACCAACTTTGCAATTATTTTTTTTTTACCTTTGCGATTATTTTTTGCACCTCAAATCCCAGGGGGGACAGCTGCCCCCCCTGCCCCCCCGGAGGCTACGGCCCTGTATGATGATCCTTGTGGTAGGCTATCAATGGACATCGGTATATTTTTGTTTTGTCACCAAGTTTAGCTTTTTATTCGCTAATTTATCACCTCAGGTTCTATTCAGCCTGACCTATACCAAAGAAAGGATACTGTGCTACGTCAAACATCCAAGGACCAATCAGGAAAACTGGGGAGACTACACTTGAGACTGAAATATGATTTTAAAACATCTGACCTTATCGTTCACCTCATTGAAGGTAGGGCGCTTGAGTACGTTTGAAAAACTTAGTTGAAGAAAATAAAGACATTCTCCTGCGTCCGACATCATTCGCCTGTTAGTGGTTATGCGTTTGCAATGTATGTATGCAAATATTGGAATATATTCTCTTTTAACATTGTGTTCAGAACGTTATTATTCAAAATATTTCACTTCGTTTTTTTTTACATTTTGATTTGTTTTGCAGCTCAAGATTTGCCTGCAATGGACGTTTTCGGCGGATTCAGTGATCCTTACGTGAAGATGTTTCTGCGACCAGAACCAGACAGTAAACTTCGCCAATCATCCATAAAGCGACGGACTCTAAACCCAGTGTACAATGAATACTTCAAATTCCCTGTAACTTTTGATGAGCTACGCGAAAAAACCTTGTTCGTCCATGTGTACGACTACGACAAGTTTTCACGAAATGACATCATTGGAGAAGTGTCTGTTCATCTGGACAGCATTGACGTCAGCACCAGTGTGGAGGTGTGGTGTGATATTGAGCGTTATTCCGAGGTAAGTTTACATAATTGTCTGTGTGCCCTTTGCTTCAAATTTCGCGTGCAGCTGTAGCTGCTTACGTGGGAACTGTTATTTTCTTTTTCTAAGAAAACCATTGCAAACAAATTAATGCACATTATTCTACTTATCCATTTCGCACGTTAATGTGTCAAAAAGTGGCTGGTTTATTTACCATATGATTGCCGAGAATGCGAACAAGTTATGATAGGGAGATTATTCCATGAAAAGAAATCGTTATTTTACTATTGTGAATTGCTTTTGATTAAATAATTTCGATGGTGACCAATACAACCCTAAATTTTACTAGAACATGTATAGCAATGCGTTAATTAAAATACCAATTGGCTTCAGTGCTTCATAGGAAAAAACATTTTTAAGTTTTGAAACGTAAAATTTATTAACAATGTTTGCATAATTATAAAACATCAAGATTGTTTTGAAGCTTTGTTCGTTACCAGAAAGATTAGTCAATCAGCAAATGATAACATTTTAAAAATCTTAACGATATTGATACATGATGTGAAGTCAAAATGACTTGTCCACTCTTACATAGGTAACCAGCAATCTTGGAGAACTCTTGCTTTCCTTGAGCTATTTGCCCACAGCTGAGAGGCTCACTGTTGTTGTTCTCAAGGCAACAAATTTGCCGAAAATTAACTTCGGGGGCACAACAGGTAAACGATTTTTCATCATATTATGAAATATATATTGGACTTGTGGAAAAGTGACTATAGG